AAAAAAATGAATCCGCCTCAACAACATAGAACTTATCTAAGAAATTCTATTGTACGACGGCCTAAAAACCCGAAAAACCCACTCGTTTCTATGGGTTTAATGCCAGAAATAACAGTGTATTATCCATCTATCCACGCAGACCAAAAAAGAGTGATTTTAAGAAAAACAAAGGCAGGAAAGCAAACGAATAGCGCTACGAAAAAATATGAGCCCCAGATAAATAATAAACGAATAGCGCGCAGAATCAAATGGAAATTGTGAGCTGGAGACTGAGAGGAAAACAAACGAATAAAGAGGAAACTGACATAGAAAAAATCGAGGGATAGTAAACAGAGGTAGATAAACACGCGATTAGAGCGAAAAATTAAACAGAAATTGTGAGCTAAAGATTGAAAGAATTTAAAGACTAATAGAGAGAAAAAACAAGGCACCGTAAAAAGTGAGAAAATAAGACAAACGAATGAAGCGGAAACTGACTAAGGAAAAACCAGCGACAGTAAAACAGAGAAAAGAAGCCTGGTGGAAGATGGTTCGCGTAGCAATAACGAGCGACAATCAAACAGAGAAAGGAAAACACATGAATACTGCGGAAAATTAAATGGAAATTGTGAGCTACAGATTGAAATAATTTAAAGACTAATAGAGAGAAAAAACAAGGCACAGTAAAAATTGAGAAAATAAGACAAACGAGTGAAGCGGAAACTGACTCAGGGAAAACCAGCGACAGTAAAACAGAGAAAAGAAGCCAAGCGATGGTTTGAGTAGGAATAACGAGCGACAATCAAACAGAGAAAGAAAAACACATGAATAATGCGGAAAATTAAATGGAAATTGTGAGCTACAGCTTGAAAGAATTTAAAGACTAATAGAGAGAAAAAACAAGGCACCGTAAAAAGTGAGAAAATAAGACAAACGAATGAAGCGGAAACTGCCTCAGGGAAAACCAGCGACAGTAAAACAGAGAAAAGAAGCCAAGCGATGGATCGAGTAGGAATAACGAGCGACAATCAAACAGAGAAAGAAAAACACATGAATACTGCGTAAAATTAAATGGAAATTGTGAACTACAGATTGAAAGAATGCAAAGACTGATATAAAGAAACAACAAGGGACAATAAAAGAGAGAAGGAAAACGCGCGAATAGAGCGAGGAATTTAATAAAAATTGTGAAGTAGATATTGAAATGGGATGGAGTCGGGGGAGAAAAGACTAGCGCCAGTAACAGAGAGAAAAACAATCGAATAGAACGGAGAATAAGCTAGAAATTTTGAAACAGCTATTGAATTGAGTTCGAAATCAGAGAAAGCGATCAGCGAAAAAAAAAAAACAAACTGAAAATTGCGTGAGCAAAAACTGCCAATCCCGACTTTTTTGATAAAAATATATTGAAAAAAGGCAGATTAATCAATGGCAGATTTTTTCAAATCACAACCAATTTAAAAATTCTTGAAGCAAAAGTTCAGAGGATGCAGAGAAGCATTCACCTATTGCCCAACGAAGTCTGTTAGCGCAATCCAATAGCTTTATTTGACGAAAACATGCTGAATGTTTGGCTCTATTCTCGAGCGGAATTGTGTGAAACGGATATTGATCTCCATTGTGTCTCACCAACCAAGGAACCTAAGAAGATCGTATAAACAGAGATTACTAGCTGAGGCATTCACCTATTCCGCAGAGAAGTCTGGCGGCGCCATCTGATACATTTTCTTCCAAAGGCGGCCTTTGCAAAGAAAAACACTGTCTAAAAGCTGCACTAAGTTCCTAGCTTTAATCCAGATAGTCCTGGTAGCATTAAAACGAGTCGTATTGTGTTATTAGATGAACCACAAAAGCTGTTGGCAGGATCCCTATTTCGCATTTTTCCTGCAGAGCTCAGCAGTTGCGGCGGACGAGTCTCCAACTTGTGGTACAATCATTATAAGAACTTTGAGCTCTGTCTAAATAGAGCAGCGAATGGTGTGGTGTCGTGTAGTGTCAGGTAGTGTTTAAATTGTGAGCAAAGTAGCACGTTGCTTTTAAAGGGCGCAGGTGTAAACAAAGAAATACACGTTCCTTGCAAGACTGATTGTTTGTTGATAAACAGTGACCAGTGGATGGTTTAGAGGCGCAACAATAGAGTTTTTCGCCCTGAATCGAATGGTGAGCATAAGCTTCAGTGTGCGCCAATTAGCTAGAGACTATTCGACAAATCCACGATTAGAAGGGGGGCAATAAATTTATTTTTGCCCTAGAAATAAATAGAACAGCAGGAACTGCCCTGGAATCAATAAAACTAGCGTGTTCGGCTTTGTTGCTTCCAATTCATCAGCGTTAGGGTGTAATTTCATTATGTCACACTCAGCACACAAATAAACAAGACTTGTCTGCCAAGTTTTATTTTCATATTCAATTTTAACGGCAAAAACCATTTGAAAATGGGGAGATTATCGGGAGCTTTAGGTACCTGGATGGCGAGCTTGTTTTGCTTTTGTTTCCATGTTCTTCAGTAACTAAGAAAATTTACTTTGTGTTTATATTGATGAGTTGTTTGATGCCTTAAAATTATTAAATAAATTAATTTAACTGTAAGTTTAAACCGTAGTTTCTCAAATTCCTGCAAGGATTGGTAATAGGGAACCCGCCCATTTTTCTGCAATGAATCTTTTTTAATTATATTCTTATTTTTCCTGGGTCTCAGTCAAAGTGTGAAGTAAAAATTTTAAGTATCGTTTATTTGATTACGTTTCGGCGCGACAACAGCGCCATCATCAGATTTAAAATTTGTCTCTTGAAAAGACAAATTTAAGGTTTCAAGAAGGCAAAGACCTAAAAGAACGTAATGTTTACCAATTATGAGTTTGTGTAAATTTTAAATCTGATGATGGCGCTGTTGTCGCGCCGAAACGTAATGAAATAAACGATATTCAAAATTTTTGATACAAATTTAAGGTTTCAAGAAGGCACAGATAAGCACATTCTCACAGAACAAAATTTCCGCGTAACTACACTTATGTTTGCATTGTTATCGAGACAAAAATAGGAAAACTATTTTTAAATAGCAGGTTGTAATAGCAAATTTTAACGTAGTTTTTAGCTCTGATCAAAAATTTTTCATATTGTAAAAAATAAATGTATCTACATATTTTGGTCAGTCAAAAATAAACGCAAAATTCAGATTTTTTGACAAACCCCGTACAAGACGAGCGATTTTAGAACATGCAGATTTTTCTATACTTGAAGATTTTTTTTTCGTAAAATTTAAAATCTATCTAATGAAAGAGTTTTCGATATTTTAGATGTAAAGTCGTGGACGGTTGGGCAATTTCTTAGTCCATCAGGCGCCGGCGTTCGAAACGCTACCCTTTAGTAGCAACTTACTAAAAATGTTTCTTCCGGAAATGCGGTTCTCGGCCACTTTTCGCTCAAAATTCACCACTTTTCCTTTCGATAAGAGAAGACGGAAATCAGTATTTTATGCGGAATATCAGTATTTGTGTGTTCGGTGGGCGTGTATTTAAAGCAAAAAGTACATTTTACAGTTGACCCTTTTTCAAGTTATATAAGTACCCATCAGTAAAGCAGGAGTTTGCGTGCGATTGGATAACTCGAGTCCCACCTACAATCAACGGATGATAAATCGGGACATACTGACGGCCAATAGGAGGCAATAATTTTGCATTTTGCCTCGTCTAAGATGGAGGTTTGTAAACAGAATTTCGTTGTGGGTTTAAATTTCATGCTGATTACATCAGCACGTTGATCAGCGTTCGAAAATTTGCAAAAATACTTCATTATACGCAAAGGTATAAAAAAATGAATCTGAAAGACTTGCTAAAACTGGCAGACACCGTGAAAAGAAAATGGAATTTGGAAAAAGAAAATGGAATAAAGTGGAAATTATGAAACAGAGACGCAAACGAGATCGAAAGCGCACAAGATTAGCAGAGGAAAAACGAACAAACGAGAAAAGTTTGCTCGTTTTTCGAGAGTTTTTGGGATCTTTAGTAAGAATTAACCAGTGTTTGCTTCAAAACATACAAATTTGATGTGCACCAACCAAGGGCGGATTCAGGAGGGGGGGTCATGGGGGTCATGACCCCCCCACTCAATTCTCTCCAACGATGCCAAAACGAATTCTGCGGCTCCAATGGTTCTTGAGAAACCTCGAAAAACGCAGCGTTATGTTCAAGTGCATTTTGCAACTCAAAAAAAAACCACGCAAATCTAAAACTTCTTGAAAACTGCCAACAATTCCCCATCTATGGTTCACTTTCTAAAAAGGCCATTCATTTCTGTCTAG